AGATGTAGATGTAGATGTGTGTGTACACATTTTCGTATATAACAACTTTGCATTTTGGTCACGTACACCCTAAATCCTAAAGCCTCGAACCCAAAGCCTCGAGGCCCCTGCAAACCCCACAACCCGACAGCCCTAAATCGTAGCTTGCCAAATACGAAATCCCAGACAAGCAACACCCCTGCCCCCCAAAAGCCGATAAAACAGAAGCCCTAAAGGCGAAAAGCCCTCACGCCCAAACCGCCCTCACACCCTAAACGCTGGAGCTAAACGCTTTGTGGAAGCGCTGTAAGCGTGCCAGAACCCAGAAGCTCTGTCATTGCTCAGTTTAGGAACTCTAAACCCTAAACCCTAAACCATAACCCTTAACCCTAAACCCTAAACCCTAAACCTCGAAACCAGGAGGATGTCGCTGACCTTTTGGATGAAACGCGCGATCGGGTGCCGGCTCCCAGACCTCTGAAGGGGGAAAAAGGAGGGATTGTCTTGAGTATGATTTCATGACTTTAAGGTGTAGAGATGCCAAAGAGGTTTAGAGTTTAGGGGCTTGGAGTTTCGAAATTCAGCACTCATTTAGGGGTCTCGGGGGGGATTCCCGAAGAGGTTTAGTCTAGGGTTGACAAGTTGAAGATGGGGGTTTAGGCTGAAGGTAAAGTGCTTAAGGTTAGGAGGCAGAGGTTGGGGTTTGTGTTCAGGATTTCAGGTATTGGTTTAGCGTCTGCGTAGTTTTCTCGAATGGTATACGATCTCGTACCATGAGATAAAGAGTATGAAGCCCTAAACCCGAAACCCCAAACCATGCTACATATCGTCAGGGGGCAAGGGATGGGATCCCACCGTTGGTGTATGAAGGCCTAAAAGCCCTAAGCCCGAAAGACGCTTTTTATGTCGACCCTGAAATCCCCAAAGTTCTGAAACCCTAAATACAACCCTGACACACAGCAGGCTTCGAGATGTGGAGCTTAAGACATAGGGCTTCAGGCTGTCATTGCTCAGTTTAGTCAGTTTAGGAACTCTAAACCCTCAACCCTAAACCCCAAACCCTAAACCCTAAACCCTGAACCCTATAGGGTCGAAATTGTCAGAAGTTTGGAGGGTCGATGTCTTGGCCCAGAGGACCGCAGAGGCTTCAGGCTTTGCAGCGGGTTTTTTTCGGGGTCTACCATGAAGTTTTACACGGCAAGGATCTTGCAATGCTTTATATACATATATACATTTTGTTTTTTTCATCTTGTGAAGGGTCCTTCGACCACTTTTTCGTGCTTTTCCTGTGCTTTCTGGTGTCCCGAGTGTAATGGCAAGCCCTTACCCCCTACAGCCCCAAACCCCAGAATACCAAGCGCCTGAACCCAAACCCAAAATCTTTAAAGCCCTACACACCCTAAACCCTCAACCCTAAACCCAAAAACCCTACAGCCCTACAAACCCTAAACCCTAAACCCCAAAGCCTTAAAACCCTACAAACCCTAAACCCTGAACCCAAAAGCCTTACAGCCCCACGCACCCTAAACCCTCAACCCTAAAACCAAGAATTCTAAGGGCCTACAAACCCTAAACCCAAAAGCCTTAATGCCCTACACACCCTAAACCCTCAACTCTAAACCCAAAAACCCAAAAGCCCTGCAAACTCTAAACCCCTAAACCTTAAAAACCCACGAGGAAGAAGGGTACAACGACTGGGGGAGGGAGGAGCAGAAAAGCAATCAGGTTACCATCTTCCAGCACGCTGGGCTTATGTGCGAGTTTCATGAAGTACTGCAACAGTACCGCGTAAAATGCCCCGAAGGAGCAATGGGAAAAGGACAAGACTTTGTCAATCCACCGGTCAAAGGAAGAGGGTTGTGGAATGATGTCATCGCCATACACAAGCAGGGCGGACCGTGAGTGGATATCGAGAAGCGAGTGAAGGAGTTCTATGACAAACAAACTGAAGACGAGGTCCAGAGGAGGCTGAACGAAGAACTTGAACGTCAAGCTGAAGCAAAAGACGGACCAGGAACAGGACCAGAACCCTACAAACCCTAAACCCTAAATCCAAAGCTTTAATACCCTATGCACCCTAAACCCTCAGCCCTAATTCCATAAACCCCGAAGCCCTACAAACCCTAAGCCCTCAACCTTAAATCCCAAAACCCCAAAGCCCTACAAGCCCCAAACCCTCCACCCTCCACCCTATCCCCAAAGCCCTAAAGCCCTATTTTCCCTAAGCCGTAAACCCTAAACCTAAAAAGCCTTAAAGCCCTACAAGCCCCCAAACCCCAAACAAACAAAAGACCCTAAAGCCCTACAGACCCTAAGCCCTCAACCCTAAAGCCCTACAAGCCCTAAAGCCCTCCAGACCCTAAACCCTCAACCCTAAACCCAAAAAATCTTAAAGCCCTACAAACCCGTAATCCCTCCAAACCCTAAAACTCTGGAGCCCTGAACCCTAGAGCCTCAAGCCCGAGACTCTTCATCGAAGGCCTAAAGCCCTAAACCTCATACCTGTACCATAATTGTCGTATAATGTTCCATAATACATTACAAAATAGACTGGTCCTAAACCCCACAAGTTTTTCAGGCCCAAGAGCACGTTTGCCCCCGGAGGTCTTGCTCGGGAACTGGCAGGATAAGGACGGGTTCAGACATCGGAGAGGTTTAGGGTTTAGGGTTTAGAATTTAGGGTTTAGGGTTTAAGATTTAGGGTTAGGATTTAGGGTTTAGGGTTTAGGGTTTCGGGGCGGCACCGAAACCCCAAATCCAGCAGCCGTTAGTTTTCGAAGGGGAGGGGATGGGGAGGCTTGGGGTGGCCGATGTTGAAGGGGGTCTCAGGCTGCTCAGGGTTTATGATTCCGGGCGAAAGAATTTGAGAAATAGAAGGTGGGCCGACATATAGAACGACATCAAGCCCCAGAATCCTCAACCCTAACATTAAAACACCTTAAGCCCTGAAGCGCCCGGCTGGAACAAAAAAAGGCCCAGAGCCTGCGAGGAGTTTCTGAAAGGGGCGGCCTACGATGTCGTCCTGGCCGACTACTTGCCCGAGGCTCGGGCACAACTCCTGCGTTGAGGCATTAGGGTTAGGGTTAGTGGGATTCTTAAGATTGCTTAGGGGTCTTCGAGAAATTTCAGGGTTGTAAGAGAGTTCGGGGTTTTGGCATGCCTGTAATCTTTGAAATTTGAGCTTTACGAAGATATCTAGGGCTTGGGGTAGGGTTCTGACAATCATTACAACGAGGAGTTTAGGGTATAGGGTTTCGGGGGTAGGATCTCGGGTGTATGGTTGTGTAAGGATTTTCATTGTATGGGTTTGTGTAGGGTGAGGCTTCTTTAAAGGATAGGGGTCGCTCTTTGCGGCGCCCTTGTTATAACTGATAAGGGGGCCCTGTTCTACCCTAAACCCTAAACCCTAAACCCCTAAACCCCTAAACCCCTAAACCCCTAAACCCCTAAACCCTAAACATAGGCGTTATAGGTTAGGCTTGAGGCTCAGGGTCGGGGATTGAAGTCTAGACGTTGGGCTTCAGGGTTCAGGCATCTTATAGGGGGCCTTAATAGTTAGAATAGGGCTTGGGGTATTAAATGCGATAATTAAAACCCTATCCTAACTATTAAGGCCCCTGCAGTACACCGAAGGTCTTGATGCAAACAGCATTGGCATCATCAGGCATTCGTAGCTGTGTGGCAGGGGTTTAGGGCTCTTTCAGGCTGTAAGGATAACTGGGTTCTTGTTAAGGGAGTTATGTAAGTTAGTACAAGTGGGGTATATAGTAAGTAATGGAGTTTTCTTATTATGGTAACTTAAAGTAAATCCTCTAACAAGAACCCAGATAAAGGTGCAGTGGATAGCACATATATGTAGTGGGTAATCAGGGATCAGGAGTCGGGCATGGACTCGTTTGGCCTAGGTTGGGTTCTTGAGGATTCGGACTAAGTGCTCAGCAGCTTGAGGCTAGGTGGGTGTCTCAGAGTTGCTTGAGATTTCATGGGACCGTTGCGAGCAAAGCGAATTCAGTCGGGGTTTGTTTGGAATGACCATGTTCTTGGTTTCAGGGGTTTTGAGGTAAAAGGTGGGCCCTAAACCCTACATCCTAAGCCCTGGGTTTCCGTTTTTATGCGGTGTGCACTTTGTCTAAACCTCTGAACCCTAGACGTCCGCGGGCCCCTAAACCCTCGACTTCCCTAGATCCCCAAACCTTAAACTAAGCCCTGTAGGCCCTGTAAAGCCCGAAATATATACCCTGAAGACTACCTTGAGCCCTAAATCCTTGAATGGCGGAGAGGAGTAAAGGGGTGCTACTTGTTCGCCACTGGTGTCACTTGAGACAATTTAAAAGCGGTAGCCGAAGGCCGAGCCCCTGTCACACAGACGACCTACAGCTTATAAGAGGGTCGTTCTCTTGCGGTGCCCTTCAAGGTACTTGTCTTGAATGACGACATACCCATGAATCCTGGTAGGGGCTCTACCTGAAGAGGGCCACGACTTGCCACAATATCCCCGTATGGGTCATCACTGACGCCGCCCTCCTCTTCGGAGGACTTTTCTTAGAGACAACCCGCAGCCCCCTTGAAGCAAGACCCAAAACCCAGCAAGCCAGAAACCCTGAACCCTGAATCCCTCAATACTACCCCCCCCAAGCCGTAATCCCTTAATCCTAAGCCATAATCCCCTACACACTAAACCCCTGCCGCCAAACCCTAAACCCTTCAACCCTAAACCCTAAACCCCTAAACCCTAGACCCTTAAACCCTAAACCCCTAAACCCCAAACCCTAAACCCTAAACCCTAAACCCTAAAACCCTAAATCCCTAAACCCATTAGTCCGAGGAGTCCCCGAAGCCGAAGCCTTGCGTTTGGAGCGCCACATCGC